GGGTCTCACGCTGGCCGAAAAAGTGTCTGCTCGGTGGCCGAGTGAATCTATCCGGCTGCTAAACAAACGCGTTCCCAGGTCTACTTCATCGCCGTGGCTACTGGCCCGCGGCGATCCGGCAACGTGTCATTATAGGAGTGTAAAAGAGAGCATCGATAAGGAAGGTGTTGAGAGCCCCGACGAGATACGCCGCTGTCTCGAAGATACCAACGATTGCGAGGTGTTAACGCGGCACCGCGTTATGAATAGGCGTTCCAGTGGAAACGAAACAGTAGGCGTTGGTAACGTACGGTTTCCGTTATCGACCAAGCACAAATCATCGCGATACGCTCCGCTCGTACGTACGGCTCGTCGAGGATCTCGAGATGATCTCGTTTGATTCGAAGATGCTGAGCGGTACGGTTACACCGGTGCTGCGTCTGGGGGTATGATTATTTCAATCCCAGCAATCAGGTAATGCGTTCCAGACGCACAAACTCTGGACTAGTGTGATCCGTGGGCTGCTCAAAGTATAGTTTGACGATAGTCGAGTGTGTATTTTGATACGCGTGGTGCTAGGCGCTGAGTTCTGAGATCAAGGACGGTCTCTCTCGAATTATTTCTAACTTCTGAACCCTCCTAAAAAATCACCATGACATCTAACTCGTAATCCACACCGTTGCAACCGGATTCAAGTTCACCTTCGTCCACCAGGGGCCAATATTCCAATAGAAAAAAATCATCGAGGCGGCCTTTACGCGCGGGGTCGCGAAGCGTGGAATTAACCGGTTCTTCGCCCTTTTCTAAAACCAACACGTAATTATCTCACCGTCGGTTATTCGGTAATTTTCATCTAGGCGGGCTTTTTTTCCACCGACAGGTACGGGGGCCCTCACCGATAACCGATATTTACATGGCAGGTGATATCAATTATCGTTCCAGAGGCGCCGCTGCCCCCGGGGGCCGAAATTGCAGCCGGACTTCGACTTCGGCCCCCGCTTGGCTTCCCTAACAATTTACTCGATTCGCGCCTTCGTCCACCTTTTTTTGCGGCGCTTCTCTAGCCCCCCTTCGAACCTGCCCGGTGAATCACGGTCGCTGGATTGAATGGGACGCTGACAAAAAACGAGACCCTCGATATTCATTTTTTGGGGAGCGATTCGGTTTTATGGAGCTACGGAATCCTGCCCCGAGGGCTGGAGTAGCGATAGGGTTCGGGGGGGAATGTGTCCCTTCTGTGTTGATTTAGCTGTTACGATAGACGCTTGGCTGGTGTGGTAGTCACTTTTTTGAAATTTATAGGATAGATGTATATTGTAGACAATATGTGATAGACATTATGATAGGCAATTATATGATAGACAATTGTACGATAGACATATATGACACACAATATATGATAGAGAATACATGATAGA